TGCTGCCTACTCAGCATCAATACATGCTGTTTCATGCACAGCTAACCAGAGATGCTCTTTTTCCAGGTGATAGTGTCCCGGGGTGGTCGCTTTTTGGAAGCACCGGTCTCAGGAAATCAGCAGCTATCTAATGATGGGATGCTTGTGATCCTGGCAGCTGGCGACAGGGGTTTATATGAGGACTGCAGTAGCTGTTTCCAAGCGATGGGGAAGACCTCTTTTTTTCTAGGTAATTGAAACACGAAGGGCCTGATAGCAGTTTCTTAGTGTAGAGACTGGGAATTCCAGCCAGGAGTCTGAGAGGCACATGTGTCATCTGTTTCTTGTCTCCTTGGGCAGGATGGGAAAATGGCCTGCTCTTTTGGAACCTGGCCAATTTCAGACCCTCCAGCCTAAGTTTTCTTTTTTGAATGCTGGCTCATTGTGGAGGATCCATGATGCTTTTTATTTTGAATCATACTTTGTTATGATTTCTCCCTTCCTCTGAGTGCTTGGAAAATGGGTAAGTTTTCTGAAGTCTTTCAGGGGAACGGAGAGCTGCCAAGTGCTTGATATGAAGAGTCTGGTAGTGTTAATACTGTGTGGGTTGGGGGAGCAAGGCCGCTGTATCTCTTCTGGAGGAATGCCCAATGGTATGTCTCGCTCCCAGGTGAAGTAGGCAACGCTGCCAAGATGATGCTGATTGTGAACATGGTCCAAGGCAGCTTCATGGCAACGATAGCAGAAGGACTGACTTTGGCTCAAGTGACTGGCCAGTCCCAACAGACCCTTCTGGATATCCTCAATCAGGGACAACTTGCCAGCATCTTCCTGGACCAGAAGTGCCAAAGTAAAGTTCTCTTACGTTGTTTTGTTATAGGACATTTGCCACAACCTAGGAGCATTTCAGATAACAGCAGAAGGGAGAAAATAACTGTCCTGTCTTCATCAGCCTGGGATTCTGGGTATTTTAAGCATTCTGGAAATGAAGACCTGAGTTCTACTCCTTCCCCTTCATAGCCAGGGCTTCTGAGATACGCTCCAAGCTCTGTATTGTCTACTGCCTACTTAGGACTTGAGTTCACAGTGAGGTTTTCATTGGGGCGGGGTAGTAAGTGAAATGGAGGGCAAACTTCTTAGAAATCTGAGCTCACTTTGTCAGTGGGCAATAGTGACATTATCTACTGTGACCAGATCAAGATAGAGAGCAGAGAAACAGAAGAACTAAAACCAGTGTTTCTGGTGATCAGCATGGGAAAGGGAAGTTCAGTGTTGAATTGCATGCCCTTGGAGTGTGGGCTTGATTTACTTTTGTCATGTTTAATTTTTGCACGCATTCCTCTTGACAGATATCTTGCAAGGAAACTTCAAACCTGATTTCTACCTGAAATACATACAGAAGGATCTTAGATTAGCTATTGCACTGGGCGATTCTGTCAACCACCCAACTCCCATGGCAGCTGCTGCCAATGAGGTAAGAGTTATTGAGTGTGCAGATATGCGTTACTCAGCATTTCTTCAATAGAGCCATTTATCAACAAGAGACAAAAATCTAAGAATTACATCATCTCTAAGACAAGGGAACAGTGACTGAAAGATATTTTGACTAGGATGGAATTGGATTTGTTTTGATTGTAGAAGCCCTTAGAATGTCACACCAGTAAGCACAGATGGCCTCAACAAGACTGGTGTGTTCTGATTTGTGCTGCTCTAACTACTTGACATACTATGCAGTTCTCTGGTTTGCAATGGTCAGCAAAGTAATTTTTCTGCTAGGGAAAGGCTTCACACAAGAGCAGACACTGATCCTTTTCTAATTTCTCTTCTCTAGGTCTATAAACGAGCAAAAGCATTGGACCAATCAGACAACGACATGTCTGCAGTGTACAGGGCCTACATCCACTAGGCTGCACCATTCTTACTGTTAATACTATGATTATTGATTAATATTATTATGATACTGGGTTTTAACTCTGGACCAGTCCATCTCTGTCTCTCCATTTCCTTTTATACACAGACTTTGAGATCTGCCATGGAGGCAGCTGCTGCGGTGAGCCTTCCCCTGGTGGCAGAAGGGGGGGAGGAGGGGGCTCGGATTGTTGCAGTCTAATTAGAAAAATCCATGTCATGCACTGACAGTCATGGAACAGAACAGTGGCGGCTTGTTCAGAAGCTCTGAGGCAACTCTGCCAGAAATCTGCTGCTTGGCTGCTTTTATTTTCCTCTTTGTATGCTTGTCCAAGATGCTGTTTCTAACAATCCCTTTTCTCCTTTGCTCTGAAATAATGCGTGTGTTGGACTCTGCATCAAGGGGACAGGTGACATCCCATCTACCTGTGAATATAACTAAAGTCCTTGGTCCCAAGTAAGGTGAGGAGCATTCCTGTTAATTGGCCACTGTTAGAGAACAAAGCACCTCCCATGGAGGAGAATGGCAGTTTCAGAAGGTAATGGGGCTGCATGCAACACTGTCTTGGTTCTGTTTCTTTTTAAACTTCAATCTCCCCAGCACCTTCATGGAGGAATTCCTAGTACTGTTAAGAAGAACAGATTGCATCCATGTCTTCCCCTGTACAGACAACTATAGTTTAGGGAACACAAACCTTACTGCAAATGAGAGAATGCCAGTGTAAATGAGCCTCCTAAAAGGCTAATCACAGCTGCCCATCCCACAAACAGCATTGGAGATCAACATGTTTGTGTAGAAAACTGCAAGAGAAACATACACCCTGAAACTGGGCCACAGTTATTTTATTTGGGGAAGGAACAAATCTTAGGGTTGCTCCTGGCCTTAGCTTATGTTGCTTTACTTCTTGCTTTTTTTTTTAACCTTTGTACTCAATAATTACAAAGGTGTCTTGGATTGTAGCAGTGTCACAAGCAGAGTGATGAGTCCAAAAGGGGTGAGAGGAATGATCGTAGAGCCGAGAGACTGAGTATCCTGAGCTTGTTTCCACGCTCGCTCTCTGGCCTTTGTATGGTCATTATATCTCTTAGTCTGTTTGCCCATCTTTAAATGTGGGTGATGATTACCTACCTCACAGGGATATTTTGTGTACTGATTAGTGATCTTTATACATGTCAGATTTTTCCATACATGTTCTTAGTGTTACTACTCTGGGTACAACACTAGCACAGCATGAGACTTTTCCCTGTACCTGTGACTCTGCTTGCGACTAGATACCAACTTGAGGCTAAGACCACTGGTGAGTCTAGAAACCTGGGACTTGAACTGCAGATGTCAAGGCTAGAGAGCAGAGATGCTCTCAGTGTTGATAGCAGAGCAACCGAGAGACCAAAGGATGCCCGCCTCTCTAAAAATGCACAGTGTGGGGTGTTTTTTTGGTTTTGGGTTCGTTGTTTTTCAGTTGTTCTCAGTATTAGCCTTTTAGGAGGGTTCATGCAGTTTAGATTTAAGAGTTAGTAAAATGCTGGTAAGAAACTTAATTGGGCAAAATCACTTCTCAGTGGCACAATCTCCTCCCTTGGGTTGGGATTCTGAAAGGGAAGAAACCAAATTCAAATTAGACCATGTTCCTTTAAATCCATGAGGTCTGCCCCTCCCACCATCTCATTTTTCTAGGAACTTAATGGCTGTGTTGGGCAATTTTCCTGTGGGTTAAGATTTCTTACTAATCCTGCTTTGTGCAGCATGTGCATATGGTTCAGGGACACTTTATTAAGAAACGGAGAAAGTGTCAGATAGTCATTATGAATCGTGACATCTAACGCCTAATGCTGTAAATGTTATGTTGCTGAATATTTCACCTCCTGTGATCACTATTATTTGTGGGCTAATATTGTGTTATGCATTATGTCCTGTGGTGAACATCTAGTAATAGAGCTAGTAGATAGATCTATTACTAGATTACTAATAGAACTAGTAATAGACATCACTTTGCCCATTTGTCAGTTGTATATGTGAACAGTACTAGTTATACGTACACATTTCTTTGGCAGTGCAACTGTCATCCTGCATGTAGATATTCATATTAAAGGCACATGTAACTACCTGGGATAACCAGCCATTAGCCTGCTTTTGACACACTTGCGCTTCCCCCATCCAGAAGAACTCGGCTATTAGCAGTGGAAGTCCTTGGTTAAATATGCTGCAGTTTCTTAACTTACGTGACTTGTGTATTGAGGGCATCTGGGAGAAATTGTGTTTTGGGGGGCAGGCAGTAAGACCACAGGTTTTACAGTGTAAGAACTCTTTGAGAGGAAGAGGAGGTTCTGTCTCAGGTCCAGCTGAGAGTGGAACTGTGCTGAGCCAGTGCAGCAGCGTCCCTGACCTGTCCCTGCGGAGGTCTCTTGGGCCAGAGTGAAGGTGAGTGGGTCTAAGCAAAGGTCATGGAGGAGCTCTCCCTCTTTTTTACTTTGTGGTGCCTCTGGATAGAGTGGGAATGCAAAAGGAGCTATGAAGTCCCCTGACGTGTACTTCATAGTGCATTCAAAGAACCATACTTGTGAGAGGGAGATCCACTCTCTGGGCAACTCACTGCTGCAGGTTTTGTTTTCCAGAAATACTGTAGTTATCAAAATGGAGATCCTTATTTATGTGGGAGTGGCAGGTGCAGACTAGTTAAACACTGTAATTTATCCTGGGAAAGTCTGACTCTGTCTTTCTGACAAGGTAGGTGGGTGTAGAGCAGCTGGAGGGTGTGGTGCTGCCCAGCCAGCTGTACAATCACAGGTAATGCCAGGGAGGAGCAGAAGGAGACTGAGAGCTCTGACATGGACATGAAGCGAGGAGGAGGGATGGAAATGGTGAAGACTGAACTGTTTCAGATGCTGTTCAAGATTGACTCACATCAGTCTCACTTGGATTCTTGTATTTATGTCTGTTAGCCTCTGAACATGGATCTTAATCTGTTCCTAGGCCTGAGATTTGGGGGAGGGAAGGGGAGGGAAGCTGGATTGAGAGATGCTCTAATAAAACTGGCTAGTCAATGTTGTCTTAATATTGTTGGCAATTTCTGTAAAGTTCCTTTTTATGAGGATTTCTGTTTTAGTAATTTGCTTTTTTTGACTCCCTCCTTTTTAAAGAGAAAATGTGACACTTGTGAAAAGCTTGTAAGAAAAGCAGTTTCTTTTTTCCTCAATGATAGACCCTATAGTTAATTAAGGTTGTGAATTTTTATTTTTTTGCCTTGTTTTTAATTAACGTCATTCAGAATAGGATGTGTGAAAATGTTTAAATGGCAAAACAAAATTTTTGTGCAATTAACAAAGCTACTGGCGAAAAGAATAAAACCTTTCTTGGTAACACAATGTTCTTATGGCAGTTTCTAAAGCCTGTCAAACCTGTATTCCGGCACTGGAGAAGTATGTGCATTCCTCAAAACATTCAAAGTCAGAGTTGCTGAAAAACAGCAGTATGCATGAGAGCATTTTGGTCATTGTGGAAGCCTGATCTTGTCAGTGAGGCACTAGAAAGGATGAATTTGGATGAATTCCAGCCTCTGCATGCAGAGGGCTGTGCATCTGGGCTGTGAGGGGGGGTGAAGGCTTGGTTTTATAGTGAAGAATGCTGAGAGATGGAAGTCTAGGAAGTTTCTGGTGTTGATGACTTCTTGTGTTGTCTAAGTGGTGGGAGCCTGGTGAGCCAATTGCTCTGTCTGGAGTGTCCTTCCATCTAGTATTTGGGGTGTTTTGAGCACTAACTCAGCAGTGAGTGAGATTTTCCAAGACAAGGTCCCTTAACTGAAGTGTCTGCAAGCTCCAGAATATTGCTTTTTGATGATCCAGGCAGTGTCTGCTGTTGAATAGCAGCAGGTGTTCATGTTCTGAGGCATAAGGGCTAGTACTGATTAATGGTGTGCTTTAGTTAAAATTAATTACAGGTGCTAAAGTAAGGAAAAACTCAGTTTTAGCACTGTGATTAAAAGCAGTGGGGAAAGTGATGGAGCAAGCTCTACTCACAGCAGAAACTGCCGTTATTGGAAGCTTTACCTGCTCTGTGAATGAGTAACACAGTCCCTCCCAGAGCCCACCTTGCTGATGGGGTGAAGATAATGTGGTTGGCTTGGACAGCCCTCACCTGCAGTACAGCCACTGTGAAAAGGACCCTGCCACCTTCAATGCAAAGACTTCCACACCAGTATAAATTTGTTGCAATTTCAGAATTTTGCGAAGAAGAAACTGATGAGACTTCCCCATCTCTACCCATGTAGCTCCATTTTATCTTAACGGCTATGCAGTCAGCTGCGTGTTAAAAAAAAAAAAAAAAAATCGTATTGCAGCTATGAGCCAGGCCCGGGCCGTGAGGTGGGGGGGTGACTGAATGACGGCGGGGCCGCGCTCCATCGCCCTTGCTAAGGCCCAGCGCTTCCCTCGAGCGCTCCCCGGGGCCTCGGAACCCGCTCCCCGCTCTGGCTCCCGG